CCGGCTCCGGGACGCGAACCGCGGTCGACTACGTGGGAGTCCAGCGACATAGCCATTATGCTAACTGCTGGTTCCCAGCCATGTATATTTAAAAAATTATTTTATTTAATTTTGTTCATTATTGTTATTTTTTAATTTGACCAGAGAGAGCAGGAAAGTGAGAAAGCAAGCTGCCCAGTCTGGGACTTGAACCTGGACTATCCATGTGCTAGTCCAATGACTTAACCACCATGCCACCTGCTGGCCCCAATGCAATATCTTTTTTAAATAGGTGGTAAAGGCACATGATACATATCTTACTATTATTATTTTTAGTTTTTGTTATAGGACACATGCAGTTGCCAGAGAGAGACTGAAAGAGAGAGGGAAGGTGAGAAATCATCCCTCAGTGGGGTTGACCATGCTGCTGCAACCCTTCTCCCCCTGGGATATTAGGTATGCGTGCACACATGCCCAGGGTGAAATCTCAGGCTACTAGGTCTAGGACTTACACTGCTCTGTGCGCCGGGTGGGATCCCACTACCCCACCTTCTGGCCTTCTCATGCAGTGCAATATTTAGTAAGCAGCTACTATATGCAAGACACTTTGCCCTTAACTTCCTGTACATACCATACCCAGCAGATCTGGCAGAGCTGGGAAGAACGTAAGCTCTTCTCAACCTCCTTCTCCTTTTTTTTTTTTTTAGATAGATTTTTGACATAGGACATGTGTGCTCACCAGAGAGACAGAGAGAGACACAGAGAGAGAAAGCTAGAAATCACCCCCTCATAGGGGATAGTAGCACTGCAATCCATCCCCCTCTCAGGATTTTGGGCATGCACACACATGCGCCTGGCATGATTTTCAAGTTGCTGGGTCTGGGGACTCAAACCACAGTTGGCCATGTGAGAGCCTAGCACCTTAGCCACTATGCCACCTGCTGGCTCCTCTTCTTGATTTTCAAGGAGTGATATTGGAGCCAGGCAGGCCAGAGATCGAATCCCACCTCTGGTGCTAAGTATCTGCGCACTGAGGACCATTCGTCTTCTGGATAAGGGTGTCCCTACGTGTAAAGTGGTTTAATAATATTTTATTCACAGGATGGTCCTGGGTCACTTCAGTGGATGCAGCTAAGGGAAGGGGAGAGCCAGCGTGGATGACGGCGCACCGGCCAGCTCACTGGGGCACAGCCTGGCTTTTCTGCCTTGGCCAGGGGCCTGCCTGCCAGCTGCACCTTCGGGAGGGTGAGAGAAATCCTAAGCCCCAAGCTTTCTCTAACCAACCAAACATGGAGCAAACTGGGTGAGAAACAGCCTGCTAAGAAACCTTCATCCCCTCCGGACCCTGAGGCTGCGGCTGGGCCAGCAGCAGGGGCCCTGGGGCAGGGGACCCATGGGACAGACCAGCTGCTCCCTGAACTGCTGAGCGAATGTCTCTGAGTCCCTCCCCTCCCCCTCAGATGTGGGCAGTGTGATGTTGGCATGGTGACAGTCAGCTTGTCTCCCCCCACTCTGCATCCTGAGGTGACAAAGAGACCCCCAGGAGAAGAATGGGGCCCTGCCAGCTCCACCGGCTCAGGAATGGTAGGCAGAGCAGACTGGGGACCGAGGGGCCTGGCGCTGAACTCCTGCCACCGCCATGAACAATGGAGCCGTTGCTCTGGCAACCAAGCTGGGCCTCTCCCTGGGCCTCAAGGCTGAGTCTGGGAAGAGGTGTCCTAGGAAGGGAGGTGGGGACAGAGGGTGCATGTGTGTTCTCAGAGTTTGGTCCCCCAGTGTGGGGTGGCAGGGGGCTGCCTACCAGAGAGAATGACAGGGTCACTATTGGCCCATTCTCTTGAGCCGCCAAGGGAGGCCAGGGGACCTGCAGACCGAGCAGGGGACGCTCAGTGCCGTGTGTGATGAGGCCCTTCCTCAATGCCTCCCCACCCCGGGTCTCCGAAGGGCAGGACCTGTGAGATCAGGAGATGCAGTGACAGTGTGAGCGGCTGAGGGTGGTCCTGAAAACGCAGGCACAGAGCTCGGGTGGTCATCATGCGGCCTCTTCGTTGAGCCTGAGCACTGACTCTTGCCCTGAGAGGCCCTGGGGATTTTGCAAAGGTATTCATTCCAGAGCGAGGTGGCCCTGGCTTCAGCTCTCTGGTCGGGTGGGCGGCACGACTCTGAGCCTCAGTTTCCTTAGCTGGAAAGGGGAGCAGCAGCGGCGTGTGCTCACACTAAGTGCCGGAGCCACCCCAGACAGGAGTCCTCAGCTCCTTTCCCCATCCCCGCTCCACCTCTGGGCACCTGTGGCTCATGCCTCTGGAGGTACGCTTTGCTCCACACACACTGCCAACACACCCCGCCCAAGCCAGTGCACGCCCATTTCCCCGAGAGGCTCCCCTGCTGTTTATTGGCCTCCTGAGGGTCCTGGGTAGAACACAGCCCTACCTTGGCACCAGGCTGTCATTGAGAAGGGGTGGTCACAGGTGTCTTTCCTGGTCTGAATTTGCTCATTTCCCCCTTGAACTTGGGGGGTGCTTTTGCCATAAGGAAAGGGGACCATTAACAGGGAACCTTGGAAAAAGCCAGCGAGTTCAGGGGCATTGGGGGCTGGCTGTGCTGGGCCCCAAGGGTATCCTGGCCTTAGGCCCTCTGCACCCCCCTGGGGCAGGCAGGGCTGGCAGAGACCTGCCTCAGCTGGTGGCCACCTGAGCCCTGCACCCCGTGCCTTGCCCCTCTCCGGAGCTGGCACCTGGCGCCGTGACTGGAGAGTCTGCGTGGGAGTCAGAGGGATGAAGGCGGGAGACAGGATCTCAGCCAGACTCCGCGTCCTTTCAGCACAAATGGGTCCCTCTGGTGGCGGCGAGGCCTCATGGCCAGTGGTTTCCCATCCCTGTGCCCTTGGCTGCTGCTGGGAGCAAGCAGGCTGGCAGGGAAGGGGAGGGACCCAGGACTCCTGGGCTGGGCTGGCCTGGCCCATGTGCTCCCAAAGTAATGATCGCTCCTGGCCTGGCTCCCTGAGTCTAACTGGAGCCACGGGCTCTTTCCTGCATCGTTCCCAGAAGAGCATCTTCGAGGTTGAAACGCAGCCATTCTGAGAAGGCGCACGGCCTGGCCTGGCCTGCTGAGCTGACGGGGGTGTGGAGGGTGCGGAGGGAGGAGCTGGCCGCAGGGGTCTCACCCACAAAGGGAATTTCAGTCTTACTTTGGTAATAGTTAAGATGGTGGGTAGGGGGGTTTGTGGATAAATTCATATGCATGAATTAAGTGGGTTAAATCTGTGTATGGGCATACGTGCACATGTGTACATGTGTGTGTACCTGTACACAAAGTGTAGACGTGGGTCACGTGTTATTTCTAGAGACTCTGCTACGTCATAGCCCTGTGCTGGGCTCCTCGTTGGGGTGTGTGGGCAGAAACTAAGAAACGGAGAAACCATGCTTCTTGCTCTCTGTGCCTTAAATCCAGTTCGTGTGCTCATTACAAACGGAGATTTTTTTTTTTTGTAGAGGTTTTTGCCATAGGGCACATGCGCTCGCCAGACAGAGACAGAGACAGAGAGACAGAAAGCGAGAAATCACCCCCCAGGAGGGATGGCCACACCACAATCCCTTCTCCTCCATTCTCCTCTCGGGATCTTGGGCACGCACATACATGCGCCCAACGTGAGTTTTAAGCCACCTGGTCTGGGACGCGAACCAAGGTCGACTATGTGGGAGTCTAGTGACATAGCCATTACGCTAACTGCTGGTCTCCCCAAATGGAGATTCTTAACCTGGGATCCTTGGACCAGCTCTAGAGGGCCCATGGGTCCCCTGAGACTATATGTAAAATATGTGTCTGTTTGCATTTTTCAGGAGAGAGAGTCAGAGTTTGCATCTTTACGTGTTCGAAAGAACCAGAACCACGGCTAGAGTAAAGAGCAGGATGTCCTCATCCAGCGGAGTATGCCTCTTCAAAATGGCTACCTCGGGAGGAGGCGGGCGTACTCACAGCACAGTCTGCTTCCATCTGGGGCACCTTTGAGCTGTCCTCAGGGACCACTTGAAAACAGGAGTCTCAGGGCCAGCAGGTGGCATGGTGGTTAAGGCTCTGGACTCTCACATAGCCAACTGTGGTTCAAATCCTGGATCTGGCAACTTGAAAATCACGCTGGGCGCTGATCATGTGTGCTCCAAATCTAGTGGAGGACAAGTGATTGAGTGGTGCCTATTATCCCCAGAGGAGGTGATTTCTCACTTTCCCTCTGTCTCTCTCCATCTCTCTCCAGTGAGATGTGTGCCCTGTGGCAAAAACTTAAAAAACAAAACCAACAACAACAACAACAACACTAAAGCATCTCTGGCTCATTTCTTCCTAACCACATTTCATTTCTGTCCCCAGAATGACCCAGCTTGTTCACCCACCTTAGGGATTTCTTCCTAACCACATTTCATTTCTGTCCCAAGAATGACCCAGCTTGATCACCCACCTTAGTCACCAGCTTTGGATCCAAATGACTACTAGCTGTTTCCAAAAATTCCGCCCTCCTTAACAAGGCACAGATTTGTCACCCTCAAGGGTACTCGTACAAACATGATGGCATTACAGCA